TCTTCTTCAAGCCTTTAAATTTCTTATTTCAATTTGTCTCTCTCAAACTCAAACTCTTTTTTTGTAACTTCCAACTCTAAAGGTACCTCTTTCACATGTTCCTCTGACTAATAAGAATCTCTAGATATGAACACTTCTTTGCCCCTTTTTGCCCTCCATACCATATATCTTAAGGTGACCCTATCAGTGAAAGACCCAAGACTCACCCTCTTGGGATTCTTCCAAGCCCTAATCACTTTATCCACCATTTGCAGCATCTTTGGCTCACTATATAAAAAGTTTGATTGAGCGAGCTTGTGTATCATAGGGACGAACTGCTCAGCGCCGAACGCTCTTCGTACCATGAGCGGCACATAACTTGTTACTCCCCATAAACCTAGAAATGGGCCCCCGGTCTCATCTCTACACTAATACAACATCGATTCACGATTCATCAATTAGATCATCCATTTTACTTGGATGCAAGTAAGACCTTGTAATAAAACCATCCATATCTCCTTGGATTTGGGCTTTGGCCATTCACTCTCATAGAATTCCTTAATTGGGGCTCGATTGCGGAAGTAAAGCTTCGAGAATGCATTCTTCTTGCACTCGAAATGACTCTTCATCCACAAATATAGTAATGGTACACTCAACAAAACGTAATTTCCCCTTCTACCAACAATAATTTAGGGATCTAATTATTTCTGCTAAGATTGCAGATGAGGGGTTGCAACCTTTTTCTATATGCCAAAAGAAGTCAATCACTTCAATCTCAATATGACCTAGGATCCTGGGAAAAACCACCATGCTGTATACCGCCAAAGCAAATATATCCAATCTTTGGTCGTCATTTGAATGTTTTGTGATGAAATCACGAAAAAACTTCCAGCGCAAACAAATATGGTTACTTCTCTCTTGAACTTGTACATTCACATCTTTTCTAACCCCTATGAGATCGGCTAATTTCTTACAAAATGCTGGTTTCTACCTTCTGACATTTTATCTGCCGATTGAATATGCCAACCATTCAATATCATATCCACCTCATTAAAGATGAAGCCCCTATAAAGATCCCAGAATTGCACAACTACTCTAATGAGGGAATTTTCAACTACTATCGAAAGGAGATGTGCAATATAACCATACTTTCACAAAAAGTTGATTGTCTGGACTAACTCATACTCTTCCATATCTTTGACAACTCTTCCAAGTTATTTTGCTTAAGGTGATGAACTACCTTTGGCAAAGTACAGATATAGTCTAATGGTAAGCAATCTCCCTCATTTCATTGGATCCTTTCTGACTCAGCCTTTAGATCATTAGGTGACTCGCATTTGGCAAAGGTGGATGAGGCACAAACCAAACGATTTATGGACTCCATGAAAGTTTTTGTTGAAAATAACTTCAGGACAATTTTTATATGCAATCTTTATGCATGATTTATGAATATGCAAAGAAAAGAAACAAGCAAAGAAATTGGTTAGTTTCAATATCAAGGAAGCAAAGAAACAAATTAGTTAGCACATAGGAAGCAAATAAAATAGCATGATTTCCTAAACTCCAGGTTAATTCTAAAGGGTAAAAAGAAACATGGCTTTACTTATCGGTTAGGCTTCATAAGATTAATATGTGATTTAGGTTAAATCTAAAGATTCTCAAATTGTTACTTAAATCATTGTCCATCACAAATTAGTAAAATATCCCAATCCTCGCCTCTTACAGGCTATAAACGAAAAGTGTTCAATTCAAGTGAAAGTGTTTCACTAGTCCAGGCAAAGATATGAAATCTCACAAGAACGTAGGCATTTAACTCTCTCCTAAAAGACGAAACTCGGGTATAGAACTCCCGTTATGTAGATGCAAGTGAATGACAGAATAATGTACAATTATAAATAGATAAAACATTCAAAGAAAAAAAATCTTAACTTTAACTTAGGCTTTGGATAATATGAGTTTACTGGCCTAACTCTCTTATCTTTAGTAGAGTCGTCAAACTATCATAATGTATAGATTCGTAAATTTATAGTTAGACTTAACAAGAGAACTCAACACCAATCTTTTTTATTTAGGTGCGATTGGCCACCTAATAAATTCATATCTATGAAACCATAACTAAATTCAAAAGTAATGTTACGTGTGAAGAAAGTTATAACATCCGCACATCGCCCACCCATGAGATGATACCAACTTGAGTTCGTATTATCCAAAAGCCTAAAAATTATCCTTAAATTATTCCAATATGTTGGTAATAATTCAAGAATATTCCCTTACTTCAGGAGTATTCATGGAGACTATTTGTCATGCTTTGAAGAAACACCGTCATCTAATTCATTTAATTTTTGTAAAAAAATTTTATTTACAATAATTGAAATTTTTGTGAAACTCTTATTGAAAATCTTTTCTAAATTATCCAATATGTTTGTAAAAATTTAGAAAGAATTTCTCACATCAGAATTTACATGAAAATTGCTATTTACAACACTCTTAGTAATTTCATCATTAAATATTCAAAATCTAACTTTATGAAAAAAAAAAAAAAACTCTTTATTTTCATAAATATCCTTCAATATATTTGTAAGATTTTCTGCTAGAAATTATTCTCAAATATGTTGGTAGGATTTTATGAAAATTATTTCCTTTTCAAAAATTAATTTTTATTTAAAAAAATCATAAGGTTTTTCAATATGTTGGTAAAACCTTATCTTAAAAATCAAATTGTCTTCAAATAAATTGGTAAGATTTTTTATTGAAAACTATTTTTTCCCTTGAAATTTGTTTTGTATAAAAAATTAATAAGATTCTCCAATATGTTAGTAAAACCTTATTTTAAAAATCAAATTATCTTCTAATATGTTAGTAAAAATTTTTTTATTTAAACATTTATTTTAAGAAAATTTGAACTGTCCAATATGTTAGTAAGATTCTTTTAATTTTATTTAACAAATGTTTTTTTCTCTTTTTTTTTAATATTTACAAATAAATGAATAATAAATAAATACATAACAAATAAAAATATATAGATGGAAAACAAATAAACAGATAAATAAATAACTAAACATAAATAAAATAAATAAATAGGAAAAAAAAATAATAATAATAATAAAAATACCAAGAAAACAGCTTGGCTTGGGAGATTGAAGACAAGCAGTACGAGAAACAACAAGCGGCTCAAGAAACAACTGGTAAGGTCAAGCACATTGAAAACACACAAATCCTATTTTCTTTAAAGGCAAAACGGCCTCGTTTCACGCCTATATAAAAGGCAAAAAATTTTCTTTCTTTTTTCAGATTTCCTCTCTCTCTCTCTCTCTCTCTAGTTTTTGCTCTATTTTCTCCCTCTAAAATTTTTCAATCACCAGTTGAAAACCCCAGCAAAACCAGGATCACGATGAAAAAATGCAAATTCTAGTCAAATGTTGTTGAAAAACTCAAACTTGGTCACCGAAAAGTGCAAGAAACCCAAATTTTCCCATATTTTCCTAGGATTTTCCAGATTTTCCCCAGAAACCCAAAAATGAAAAAAAAAAACTAAATTGAACCCTTTTAGTCTAAACAACTTCTCCCACAATCCTAAACGATGCTACCTAAATTTTTACGATTTTTCTTACTTTCCTTGCCTTCAGATTTTTTTTGTCTATTGCTTCCTCCCTTCTTTAATTCATCTTTATAAGGCCTTTTTATAGGCTTGATAAAAAAAGGTTTTCTTTTTGGTTTTAATCTCCTAATCAAATTCATCTTCAGATTTTAATCCAAATCCATTTCTCCAACCTATTCCTTTTTTCAATAAAACATTAGACTTTTAAACTAAATCAAAGTCTTCCTCTTTTTTTAATTTAACAAAAACCAAATCCTATAAAATCAACCCCAGACAGAATGAGGTGTCTAAAAAAATCAATCACCAATTGACATTGGACTAATAATCAAGCAAGACCCAAAGAAATATAAAGCCTAAGACCCAAACCTTTTGTTTTTTTAGGCTAGACTATAACACTTGTTAACTGCAATTATAAAGAAAGTATAAATCTCTTCTAGAATGGATTGTTAGCCTGAGTTGGAATAAAAAGGAAGGGCTAACTTGTAGTAACTGCACAACACAATGTGCTTGCTAAACTCAAAATCCTTCCCTCCCTTCAAACCTTGTCTCTCCCTCTCTATCTCTCTTTGTGAATCACCTTAGGCACAACAAATATACTTGTCTTTGATGTAAAAATTTGGATCCCAAATTTCAGGAATCTGTATCGTGTACCAAGAGCTCCAAGACCATTAGGGTACTATGATCTAATCATATGATTTAGTTCGTAGTTCGGTCTCTTAAGTCTTGAGTTTGCATTGGCACTCATATTCAAGTCGGATGTTAAGTAGTGTTATCTCACATCAACTAAGTCTTGAGTTTGCCATGGCTTTCATATCCAGATTGGGTTTCTCTACCAAGTGCTAGTTGGCTCTGGGTTGAATACTTAACAAAAGCCCAATGAAAAGAAAGACAGTCAAAGTAGTCAACCCTATTTAGTTTTGATTTTATGTCTTTTTCATATACTTTTGTTTGTCTTTTCAATAGTAAGTTCACCTATATCTTAAACTAATTTGAAGATGCTCAAGGTTCATATCATAGTAATTGCATTCCCTAAGCAAAAGGTCACAAGCGGCAAGCCTAAGAAAATTTTGAGTAAAAGCATGAAACTAAATTCAGCAGCTGTTGTAAAGAGGCGTCGGATCCTCCACAAAGTTTGCAACCGCCAAAAAAATAGAAAAATTAAATGGATATTCCGAAATGGTCCTTGCCAGAAGGAACACCAGCAAACTTTGAACTATGTGGCCAAAGGACAGAACCAACTAGATTTATTTCCAACCAGTTCATATCGAAAATAAAAAAAAAAGGGGGGCTCATTTGCGAACTTAGAAGCAGAGAAGAAGAACAGACATATGATAGATAATTCATTTTCTCTAATAATAAGATCAAGAAAGCAAGAAATCTCCCTTGAAAAAACTACAAGATGAACTAAGTTCTATTATCAAACCTGTTACAAACTCTTGAGGTTGAAGCTCAATTTGCAGTACCACCCTTGAAAAGTATGGAGTAAACAATAGGATGGAGCACTGCAATAAAAGGTGATAATTATTTAAACATAAGTTCTTGCATCATTTCACCACAAATACAAGAAGCATTATAATGCTGAACATTGAAATAAAATGTCAAGAGAAGACAGGAATGTGGCAGCAAAAGATAATAGAGAAACAGCCATCTAAGTTCCTTGACTTTAGCTTTTTGTCATCTTCCAAAGGACCACCTGTGGCAGTGTGTCTCTTCTTTAAATGAAGTAATTACTACCTTCCAACAAAACATAACTGCAAATATTTAGCTGATTTCTAGAACTGTGGGGAAGCTCCTAATGAAAGCATTTTCAAGCTGAAGCATCTTAAGCTGGATAAAGTTGATAGTTCCCCATAAGAGATGAAAAAGTAGGTACGATATTATGAAAGGAAGAGATCTGTAGGTTTTTTTTTTTTTTTGGTAAGTTTCCACACATGAACTCTATTACATGGACTTGGCACTTTCAGCCACCATACCCACATCGACGCAACGTTGACACGACAAGGACACAGAAACGATATATATATTTGACACTGGCAGATATACAGACTCACCTTCTTTTCCTTAAGCAAATCAAACACAGAATATTACAAATAAATTGACAAGAAAGAGGTAGACAATAGTAGGTGGTTTGGTGAAGGAAAATCTTTTGTTGTTCTCCTTCATACTGATGGCGTAATTGTGCTCAGATTCTCACTCTTTGCTGCTGAAGTAAAATCTAGAAAGCAGTTTAGAGCTCAAAAAGAAGGACCACAGCCCATATTTATTTTTCTTAACTTTCTAACAAGATAAAGTGAAGAAGCCCAAATTTAGTTTTCTTAAAATGCTAAAATCTAAATTTAAATTTCTTAAATTGCATGTTGCAATATTTCACTTTGTCTTTCTATATCAATTATTATAAATCTTAGCTTCACCTGCGAAATTGCATGATACAATGTTTCAAATAAAAAATAAAAATAATAAAAAAGAAGAATCTAGATGCTAGATATCAATTTTGGAATTTCAGATTTCATATAATTTTTTTATAGTATTATTACAAGACGCATAGCTCAGCTTGATAAACAATGTATGGAGTTAGTTTCACACCTCAACCTTTCCTTGTGCTTGGTTCCACTTCACCCTTTATAGACATAGCATTCACATTGACTATCACAAATTCACTATCACTGCTAGTCACTTTAGAATTCACCAAAAATTTCTTTAATGGGGCATAAGCTCCATCTTTCCATTAACTACACCCCTATAGTCATCAGGAGTTATTTTTGGGAAAGTTTAACAAGTTTCTACATAAAGCTCCAAATTCCCCAGCTTTTTGTCCAGCTTCCTACCTTCCCTCGACCTTTCCACTCTTATATCTCACCTCTGGCTTGAATCTCGGTTCCAACGTCTGTTTTTAAAGGCATTGGGGAGGCACGCCTTAACGCAAAGCAGACACAAACAGCCATGAGGTTTTAAATTTAGGTGTTTATAGGAAATGCAACAGTAATATCAGAAAAAGGCTTTCATCAATGCTTTAAGGCTTACATCTTGCCTTGCTAAAGATAAAACATCCTGCTTCATGTTCCCGCCTTAAAAAAATAGCTTCCAACTTCTTCAACATGCATGACAATTCACATTCTATACTATCTCCAATCTTCCTCTTTACTACTCCTATTTCATTCTAGTTCAGCCATTTGCAGCATTACCTAACATTATATTCAAAAGACACTGAACTAGTTCTTCTAAGTTCCATACATAGTGAATTCACCACAATATAAAACCAGTATCTTCAAAACCAGACCAGGCAGGATGGGTCAGTTCAACTAGTTAAACCAGGAACCTGTAACCTTGCCAATTCAGATAGCTATATAGAAGCTATGTCCAAAACCAGTCAACAATCAGATGAGCTGGAAAGAACAAGCAGTAGAACAGATTTCAGTAGTTAAATAGCCTTTTGTATTGTAGTGTCGTCAAAATTGTTGATCTAGTAGTGGAAATTGGAAACCACCAAGAAGGCTAACAGAACATTTTGAACTCTGAATTAGGATCATATTAGATCTACGGAATCTACTTACTTAAAATAAAAAAAAAAGATTTATAAAACCTCAAATACATCAGATCTATTCCAACAAAAACAAATGACATTGGGTTCAATATCTAGAAATCTCAAATATTTTTATTCTCATATCAGATTTACAATCTGTTTCATTATAATTATATATATATATATATATATAAAGAGAAAGAGAGAGAAGCAAAAGCAAAAAAATACAAAAAGCGGCTTTCCATTGGTTGAGCTTGCTAGTGGTGCTATCTTAGACATTAACATGAATTTAGAAGAAGCAAATTATAATTTGCAGGTTAAAAGCTTAGTTCGAAGATAGCTTTAAACACTAAAAGTTAAAAAAAAAATTGTTAAGGCATGCGATGGTCTATTGAAAAAAATGTTAAATCATGGAAGGGTGTAGGATAGGGTGTAACAATAGTTTATAAGAACTACAAGGAATGATGAACTGGTTGAACCTGAAATTTTTCCCTCATCAAATTTTATCACCTGATCTTGTTATGTGAACATGAAAAGGAACCTTCAAATATGGGGTTAACTAAAGTCACAAACGAGTAACTAAAATGAAGAATAACAGAGAGGAATTTAGGAGTAGACTGTAGAGTGCAGTGTTGCAGCAGGTGGAAGAAGTTGGAAGCCAAATAAGAGCCAAAAGATAGAAGTAGGAGCAAGGAAATGGTTGATGGAAAGGAAGGGCAGAGAATGGGAATACGGACATGTAGCGAGAAGCTGAGTAGAATGTAGTGTTATGCAAATAGCTTAACTTCCCCAAAAAATGACTCTCAATAGGAAGATGCTTGTGAGTGTAGTTAAAGCTACCCATGGGGAAGATGCTTGCCATTTCTCATTAAAAGGAATTCTTGGTGAATTCTAAAGTGACTAGCTAAGATTGTAAGTTAGTAATAGGTTCCATTAGCAGTAAAGCAGTATAGAAGTGACAATCATACGTACTAAGGTTAAGTTGGGGAACCCTTGGCTAACTCCATCTTGAGCAACCAAGCCAAGCTTTCTACAACATTCAAAAGCATGAAATTTTCCCAAGGAGTCTACTACTTATGCTGAGGTTAAATCTACTAATGTGATTCTATGCCCAAAACAAGACATACTTAGAAATATAAACCAGTAGAATTTGTGTGATGAACAAACATCTACCTATTCCATATACACAGAAAGTAAAAGAGCATGGGTCAGATGTATTTAAGTCATAAAAAATTCAATACACGGGCAACGAAAAGAGAAAGCCTCTTTGGAACCTATGGTCCCTATTAAAACATTGAAAACAGGAAGATGCTTGAAGGAACTTAATGTAAATGTTGCCATCTTTTTCTAGTACATTGATTATTTTACAAACATATTTCAGTTTAACTCAATAACTCCATAGATCTTTCTTTCATATCCAACCATTTGTTTTCTCTCCCCCTACCTTCATACACCACTCATGCCAAATATAATCTGCCTCCTCAATTCTCGTAAGTTGCAAAAATTTTGGCCGCCCACTAACTAGCGATTGAAGGAGTAGATGACGGATGTAATAAAATAACCAAAAGCCATTGAGAGCTACAAGAATATATAGCCTTAATTTATAATTGCTATTTTCTTTTTAAAATAGAAAGAATAGGGTAAATATGATAAAACTGCACAAAAGGAACGTAGTAAAAGGCACAATATAAGAACACGATAATATCTTGACTTTAAATTGTAAACTTTATGATGGCATCAAGAAACAAGCAAAAATAGATAATGTTGCAGCTTGACTGTCACAACAAAATTAAGAAAAAACATTAGGAATGGCCAAAAAAAGTTAGCTTAAGAATTTAAAGTTGACACAGACTCCCTACAAAATTCTAATTATTTCCTTGACAATAAATTGTAAATGCATATCAATGTAAGCTCAAACCATCTAGGTTTCTCCAAAGCTTACTTTCAAAATAACAAGAACTTTAGCCACCATTTTTGGAATCAAGAAGAAGCCTCAAATAATAAGATAGCTAAGGCCCACAGCTCCCACACTGAGCTGTAATAAAGTCACCAATGATCCATAGGTTCAACATTATCTTTAGCATAAAACAAAAATCCACAAAAATTCTTCTTACAAAGTTAGCATTAAGCACTTTAAGAGAAATTGTAACCTTCCAATCATTCTTTTAGTGAATATTAATACCTGCACTGCACCCTAATCTCAAAAAATTAACTTACAACAAAACTTCTTAGTGCTAGTCTAACAAATTTAATCTAAATGCTATAACCAGTAGTCATCGCTCACCAGCTTCAGAAGATGGCCCAAAGAAAAGCACATTAAGTGTACATAAGCATTAATGAGACAGCTTATTATCATGATTAAAGGCTCTACACACTACAAGTGATATGGGCTACAGCCTACATGGAATGATCAAATCTTGTTAATGATTTAACGTAACAGAAAGGCTTAGTATTTTACAAGGTAAGCATATAGGTTGACAAGACCACTAGAAAATAGAAACCAAACTTGTATGTAAATGAAGATTAGCCAAGTTTTTTTAGGAATATGGGTTTTCTTTGTCAACCCATGCCTGTGTAATAGAAAAAGCTAGCTCAACCATTGATTTCATTTCAACAAAAACAGCTAACAGCATAAAATGGGTGGAAACACCATTCGAAACTTTTGGAGATCACTGCAACTTTAAACATAACAGTGCTCATTCTCACGCCAAAAAATAACCACTCAATCACCAAGAAATAGCGGATCAATATCATTCTTACATAGACATTATCGTCCTTGGAAACCAAGGGCTAAAGTTACAGGTACTTGAACAAGTACAGTTTGTCTAAAGGACAATTTCCTTGGTATTTTTTTAAGTTATTAGTACTGTAATTTATCAATTTAATTGAGTTTTGGAGTAAAAGGATATTTTCATAATTTTATGTTATCCAGAATGGACCTTAATTATGTGGTCTTTAATCTGCAAAAGATGAGCTTTCTTCATAACTCTATATGAAAGCATTCTTTAATTAGGACAGTGTTTTCTCCCTTTCTTCTTCCCTGCTCTTTTTAGGCTTCCTCATCTAACTCACTTATTACTCCCAGCAATTCAAACCCCTAAAAAAAGCTGCCTTTTTCTTATCATATTCATTAGGAAACTCTATTTCTTTCCCAATTCAAACCCCTAAAAAAGCTGCCTTTTTCCATTAACCCTTGCACTCAGACACTCTTTTCCCTTAAAGTCAAGTAATCCGAGCCAAGGCTCGGGAGGATGGAAGAAAAGGAAAGAAAAGAATGTAAAGGGAAGGAAAAGTAGGAGATGACAAGACAATGTTTCCTTGTTTGGATGTTAAGAAAAAGGAAGGAACATATCAATCATTCATTCTTGTCCAATTGATGAGTAAAAAAGGAAAAAAAAGACAATTTACTTCATGCTCTCAGTAATATGGTCTCCATTAATGAAAGAAATGTGAAACAAAGATGAGGAATATAATTGGTAGTATGAAGAAAGGTATAACTGAATAACAAATTCCCCCCAAATTCTTATAGTCAGAAAGAATGAAAAAAAAAAAAAATTGAGCTTTGACAGATTTAGAGGGATAATGACTTTCCCTGCATTTACCTACATTTTATAACTTTCTCAAACAAAGGAAATCTATCCTTGCCTTACATTTCCCTTTTTTCCCTTTATTTCCTTTTATACAAAACATAGTGTAGTAGCTCCAAAAAATAAAACACATAGTCTAATAGATATAACAGCCAAAGATAATTGCACAGAAAGACAACAAAACTAATATATATATATATATATATATGAAAGAGAAATGATGGGAATGCAAAAACGAGGAAGAACCTACAAAATGCTTAATGGCATATAAGAAATTTGAGATCATACTAGCCCAAAAACTCCTACAGGCCATGCTTTGGCAGCACCACCAATTGCATCACTGTGCAGAGTCAAACCTGCATAATTGACGGATAATCAGAGATATGCATTATAGAACAATATCATTACCATGAGAAAAAAAGAAGCAATGCTCTAATTTTACCTGAGATAATAAATATTGCGAATGTGCTAAATTTTGACAGATAATATTTATCCGCAAGACAGCCAAGCGTAGGATTTGCAAGTCCAAATGCTACTCCACCAACAAGTGCTGCTTGTAACATCACAAACACAAACAAATTCTTGTTATTTTGGAGAATGAAAAGAATTTTCTCACAAAGAACACATAAAAAAATTAAATAACCTAGGCAGGCAAAGTTTTCGAGATTATAAGGAAAAACTAGAGATATTTACATTTTCCTTTTTGGCTTCGAACCACCCTTCAATAACACAAACCATATATGCCGTTAGCACTTGACTCAACTTCATTGTCCTAGTTTCACTTAGATTTTATTTGTAGCTTGCATTTTATTTAGATGATGATTAAAATTGGCTTTCTTGTACCAGAAGGAAAATTGTTGTACTTTTTTTGGGCCGGACAATAAGAAATTGGGTTAGAGACTATTGTGAGTAAACCAAATTTAAGGATTTACAAGAGAATAGTATGCACGACAAGACTTTCAAGAGATACAAAGAGATGGGAAAGCATCAAGAAGCATGTAAAGGGAAACAAAAGAATATTTTGACAAACCAATGTTAATTATTCATCTTTCTAAGTGATTTCTTATTCTTCATCAATCTCAATATTTATATTCTCTTGCACTAACCCTGAAAATGTTCAATGCAAACTCTACCCAAGAAGCCAGCTAATTGGAATGACGAGTGCATATGTTTATCCACCTACTATATATCAAATACTGAAGGCATTATTAGTAAATCATGAACACTTATTAAAGTTATCTTTTAGCTTCTCCATTGAGCACCTCCTGCAGTAATCATTCCATTTTCTTTTCTTCTTCTGTTGAATCAATTATAAAAGACAAAAACATCCCAACTTTTCTGTTTTTCCTCATAATAAACACTAGTGTAGACAAATAAAAATAAATTAATATTGCACCTGAGCATTTGGCTCAATGCTAGGCGCATCATCCCCTATTCAAAGAGCTAGGTTTGAATCCCCTCTTTTCCAAATCAAAAAAATAAAATAAATAATATCTAATTTTGTTGGTCTTCTATAAGTTTCATTACTAACAAGTGTCTCTATAAGGAATTTGAAAGAAATATTGAGAAAACAAACAATGTGGAATTGCTCTCAATACAAAAGCAATAAACAAGTCTTTCATTATAAGTGAAACGGTCCATTGTAACAAGTTAACGAATATTCTGTCTTTTATTTTGGAACAAAAAAAGAAGAAGAATCAGAAAATATTGTTTGGAAACTTCTTGTTTCACTTTAAAGGAATTTTTTTTATTTGAAAAAGTGTTTCTTACAAAGTAAAAATAAAAGCAGCCACTATCTAAAAATCACGCAAAATACTTTTAGATTTTCTACTAAAGTTTTTCATCATTTAGGGTTAAATAAGGGTACACATTCAGCAACCTAGTTTTACAGAAACTTACAGCAGCATCAAAAACACTTACACAACAACGCTCCACATCAGAATTTTCACAAAAAGAATCCAGAAAAAGGAAACATTTTCGTTTTTCTCAAAGACAGATGACAAGAATCGATTCAATTTTCATAACTAAAATCCATTACAAAATGCACACACCATAAGAATCCTAAATTAGAAAATCAACAATCTTTCAGTGCATTCCTCATGAACGGAAATCATATTTACCTAATTTTATGCGAGAAAAAAAATCCAAGATATAAACAACGAAAAATAAAACTGTAAAAATTATACCAAAAGCACTCCCATTCCCATCAATCAAAATTACCATTACCTAAGGGAAGAAAATTATCAGCCGCAAAATTCAGCAAAGGTTTTGTCCAATTTAATCCATTAGCCAAACCTGAACCATGAGTCTGCAATTCAATTCAAACTTCATCAGCCGCAAAAGGATAGAACGAAAAAAAAAAAAAAAGTGGAACTGAAACTAGGGCGAAGGAAACCTCATCGGACGGTTTGCAGCATCTGATAATTGTTGAAATGGAACGGCTAGGACTGATTCTGAGAGAGCGGCTGATGATAGGGCAAGCTTTCCGGCGAGGAAATGGCCTGGTCACGATGGACGGAGTGGTCAAAATTAGGGATTGGATGGTTCCCGCCATAGACCTCTCAAACAATATTCGGAAATGGTGATGTCTCTACTCTCCTGTCAACAACAGTGATTTCTCCCAAAAAGAAAAAATAAAAAAAAAATCAGTAAAACAGGCGTACTTTGGAGGGAAAGGGATTGTTTAGACAGGAATGGAGCTTTCATTCTTGACCCTTACTTAACCTAGCTATTTTTTTTTAATTTAAGGATGTATTTGAATGCTATATTTGCACTAAAGATTTAAATTTAAAAATATGTATTTTTTTTTTAAAAAAGTAACAAAGAATTTCAGTATTTAAGAGCAATTTCAATGACTTTTTCTTTCGAAATTTCATTTGAAGAGGTGATTTTTCAGAATTTTTTCAAATCATCTTTCATTATAAAATCAAAAACCCAAAAACTAAAATATCATTTTACTTTAACTCTAATGCTTTTTTTCTTTTTATATATTATTAATAATATTTATATATTTTTACATATATAATGATACACATAAAAATATTTATGTATATTTTTATTTTAATATCATTATTTTTTTATAATTATTATATATCTCTTAAATTTCAATAATTTAAATTTTCTTTTAAGAAATATTAATCCAAATTAAAAAATTACAAATGCTAGCATTTTGAAATGATAATTTTTAAAATGCATTTATTTTAAATATTTTTCAAAATTTTAAAATTCCTTTTCCAAATACACTTAAAAAATTAGTATTTTACTTACGTGTCGCTATGTGATTTTTTAATTTTTGTAATTATGTATTTTTTTATTATTATTTTTTAATTTAAATCTAACTTGTAGTCAATGAGATAAGTAAGAATTCACATATATAAGATCTTGATCTTTAATAAAAGCTTAAAGGTAACTACGAAGATATGACTTAGCCAATCGTCTAAAATACAATATTAATAAATTGCAATGGCTAAATTTCAAAGAAGCATAGCATAAGACTTTAGCTTAGTGGTTAAAGGTGTTTGGAAAATTATTAAGGGCTTAGTTTCAAGTCAAGCATCTCTCTTCTTCTTTAATTGTACCAAGGTTTTGCTTTCTTAATATAACAAAAAATATATATATGCATAGCATAATATATGCTAAAAAAAAAAGTATAATATTTATTCATTATCAATGGTAATAGTGAAACCATTGCTTCAATCATATAACTTCAATTATACCTACAATTTATATATGTAAAGTAAAAAAAAAATTACAAATTTTAATTTAAATCACTTGATTAACTCAAAAATCAACCATAAAATTTTTGAATATGACTTAAAATAAAAAATAAACTTACATTTTAAGGAATGAGTGTTTACATATATGAAATCTTAATACAAAGTTCAACAAAAACATATAAATTTAAGTTAAATCACCTAATCTGTAGTTGCAAAAATATCTTCTAGCTAGTGATGATCCTTTACACTAATGACTTGATTATTCGTATTAAAATAAAAAACCAAATGCTTCATAGGAAATGACTTCAATGTTTTTAGACTTATTTGTCCCCATGTGATTTAGATTTATAATAAAAGTTAATCAAATAATCTATAAGATACAATTAAGCCCTTGTTTGAATTTACCTTGCATTAATAAATTCAAATCACTTAACACACTTGAAGAGGATTAAAAATAAGTTGTCAAAAACTTAGTTTTTCTCAACAAACAAAGTCCAACAGACTTATTTATTTTTTAGAATGAGTGAAAAAAATACACAATGTTTTTCAAAGTATATTTTAAATATGTTCTAACCATCTCTATTTATAGAAATTGAAATAAAAAATTGTGACCATTTAATTTAATTGAGTCAATCAATAATTATATTTTAACATTAAAAACACGTCTTTCTTAATAATTAAATAAGTAATTATTTATCTTTTGTTGAGGCTCTATTTGATTCATGATCTTTTTTAGTATTGAAGAAATTGTGTCGATTAAATAATTGATTGATAGGTTTTGTAATTAGACTTTAGAGCAACTCATTTACATTTGGATTTTTATTTGTAATTTTGGTATTAAACCCAATCCTAAGTGCTTAGTCCATCTTTCTTTTATTTATTTTTATGTTTTTTAAATCATGTTAGATACATAAAATTATTTATAGGATAAGATGATAATTATCTTATATCATGTTTAATTTGTATCTAAAAAGAGGGATAGAAATTACAAGGCAGATTAATATCCTTTTGATATAAGAGTATTCAATTCTCCCCAAGTAGAGAGGATTATTTATAATCTATGAGATTAAACTTATATGTCCATTTATATTCTTAAAAATTATATCAATGACTTTTCCCTCTTAGCGTAATGGTTAAGAGACGGGTTGAAAGTCATGTAGGCGTGGGTTTGACCCCACCATCCCCTATCCCCCTTGTAAGGACACTAGCTCTCCTTTGCAACCAAAAAAAAATTATATCAATAATTTAAATTATATAAACTTTGAGGAAGAATAATTTTGAAAAATAAATAAATTATCCTATCCTAATTCTTATATACATCAAACACAAAATAAGATGACATTATTTAATCTAATCTTATTCATAATATTATCTTATCCTATCATATCATAATCTTGTATACCAAATATGACCTTAGGTTATTATTTTATTTTTGAAATATTATAAAAAATATAATAAAATTTAAAAAAATAAAAGAAAAAAGGAAAAGTTGATTCATTAGAAAACCGAAATTGCTTGGGTTGGAATTAAACTTATTTTGAAAATAAAATTTGTTTTTAGTTGAAGTTAGAATTATCATGAAACCATGATGATAAATTTTTTTAAGAATATAAACTCATTTTGGATTAAGAATTCTATTTAAATCAAAACTAAAAGTCCTATAAAAAGCACAATCCGATAATCGATAGAAGAATTGAAGAAATAGGCATTTAGCGGTAATGATTTAAAGGATCCAATTTTAGGAAAAAAAGAAATCATAGTAAATGTTATCGGGTTTTCGAAACATGGGATTGAAACAGAGGAAAAATCAAGACAATTCCATCAACAACAAGAATAAGTGAAACACAATAATACACAAACACGATAATTACACAATACATAAGCAATCCAGCTAATCCCTCACCAAGCAAACAAAGATTGGGATTAGCATGATGTTTCTATAACGATGACTGAACTAGACTGCGATGGAGCATCTGATAAAATTATGTGGAGAATTACATGAAAAGTGCCTTCCTAATTATAATGGCTGATTAGACCCTCCATTTAGTGTAAAAGGAATTTAAGATCTCCATTATTAATGAAGATGATGATAGGCCATGAATGCAAAAGAAGAAAGAACAAATTTAGAATTGTGATAAAATTGGATAAATGTGTTGATCTACACGTTATTGACTCTTTTTGCATAGGAAGCAAACTTGATTCACCTTAAAATGCTCTTCATGATGTTGTTCTTCATGAGTTATCTACTTTTAGGTACTGTTAGATTAATTATTTTGACCCATTGGTGTTTTTTTATTTAATTATTTAGGTTATTTTTTCATTTGATAATTATCTATTTTTCATTTGCTATTATTTGTTTTATTATTCGTATAGGTATAAATTTTCGTATGTTTTAATTAATAATAAAAATAAAATTTATATTAAATAATTGTAGACTTTTGTATAATTATTTGTTTATTAAATTTTCAAAAATAATGATAATAATTTAGAAATAAATAAAAATTTGATCAATAATGATATTCTAGAAAAGTTATAAGTGTGTAATTTTTTTTTTAATTTCTAGGTGAGAAAACTATTATAAATTCAATCAAAGTAATGAAGGATTAAAAAAATGATTTCAATATAAGAATTTTTATTTTATTTTTAAAACTAAAATTAAAAACAAAATTAGTGGAAAATAAATTGTGATTATCTAAGATTATATGTTGTGCATTTTGTATATTTTTTATCATGTATAATTAATTATTTTTTCATAAAATATTTAATATATCCAATGACGAAATTTCTCTAGGAAAACATATATGTTACTTGTATACTTTTGAGGTGAGAAAAATTTTTTAAGTTTTTAATCAAAGCGTTAGGGAAAATCTAAAGGAATTATATCCAAAATTTTAATATAAAAACTAATAAATATAACAAAGTAGAATAAGTTAGAAATAATATACCATTTTAATTAAGACTAGAAAGATAATTTAAAATTAGCTGGTACCATTTTAAGATGAGCATTGTAACTAAACTCCTGAGCATTGTAATGGTAGTATACCCTTTCCTAGTTGTAACTAAACTCTTAAACCTAGTTCTATGACGTAGGCAAAAACCTAATGTTTTTAGAGTCCTTTAATCAAGTTTAGAATAATTTTAAAAAAGATAGATTAATTTAGATAGCCAATCACACCTAGATAAAAAAAAGAAAAAAAATTAATGACAACTCAATATTTTATGTCTAATGGGTTAGTTCATGGAGTTGCACATTACAACATCTTTTATAAGTGAAAAATTATTTTATGAATGATTATAACTTATTTAAGGGAAACTATTTTCCATTTTGCAGAAAATCATAATTTTTAAACTAAAACAATCAAATGCTCTACCAAGGCATTCAACTACCCCTTGTAAATTTGTTTCAATAATACTTATCTCATGTAGGGTAATCAACTACTCTATTCAAGACATTCAATTGCCTTTGTGTAATTCTAAAATAAAAGGCTAGCCATTTATTGTCTATGTGTGAGTAGTCAAATGCCCTAACTTAAAGTCAAGCAAACAGAAAGTTAACATTTAATTACCTACGTATAGGTATTCAAATTCCCTTATAAGTCATCCAATTATTTGACTTTCAAGTTATAGCAGTCTATTGTTCTTAATAAGGCATTCAATTGCGTTTGAGCAATCTTGAAACATAATTAATTTGATCATGCAACATTCGAATACCTATGTAAGAGTATTTGAATGCCTAATAGGAAATCTTACACATTGATTCTTTTAGGCCTAGATCTATTTTCTTTTGTTATAGAACCTTTTCAAAGTTTAATACTAGTTTTGTTTACTTAGTTTCTCAAACCATTGATTAGGTTATCATACTTAACCAATTTATCTTTCACCATTTGAAAATAGCTCCAACAATCTTTTACCATTTTCAAAATAGAGCAAGTCACATACTACCAGATATCGTATCATAAAAAAAGGCATCAATCCGAATTTAAAACTTTCTAATTAATGATAAGATGTTGTTGAGCTAATCAAAATTATATGATAAAATTTTTTCTTTGAATAAATAATTATATACCATTAGTCATGCACCAAATCATATAAACTTTCACACATCATTAAATTTAAGGATTTTAATGAAAGTACAATCAGAAGAAGTAGAATGGGTCTGT